ATAACTAAATTAATTCAATTTAGATTCAATTGGTGTAGTTTGGTCAACTTATTAGTTTTTTAACAATATTTTGAATATTTTTAATTAGATAAAAAATCAAAGTATCAAACTATCGAAAGTATCAAATTATAAAAAATATAATTATAAAACACAATAACATCATAGACTATAAAGTGATAATACAAATTACTAGATTGAATAAAAAATTAAGAAGAAGGTGAAAGAAAAATGTAAAAATTAATAAAGCAACAAAGACATATCAATTAAATTATCTGATTTATAGGAAAAAATAAAAATGGACCTTTATTAATTGTTTAATTAACTTCATCAACTTAAAATTAATATTAAGATTAATATCAATTTTTATATTTTTTTATATATTTATGATAAAAATAATATTTTTAACTTGTGACCTAAACTTTAAACGTAAATAAATATATATATTATCTTTAAATTTATATATATATATATATATAAGTAAAAATCACGGCTCATAAAAAATCCAAGTTTTGTCAATTGTATTATACATGCAGTGCATGACGATTTGATGGACTTGGACCAGTCAAGATTGATGAATGATTAGTTAGCGGCTCAATGCTTGTAATCAATGGCTGCCCAGAGGCCCAATTCCCAGTTCAAACCCAACATCAGAGTCGGTAAGTGTGTCTTTTCATGGTGGAACTCTAGGGGTGAACATGGGAAGATATGGTTAGGTATTGGTCCATACTTAACTTGAACGGTGATATGTAAAAGAAAGAAAATGTTATAAATAAAAGTCTTCGCTAACTTAGATCCATGTTATTATTATTGATGCGTCAAAGAAGAGATAAATTCATGAAGCTGCTAGGATCATTAACAAAAGACATGTTTATTTTATCCCATAATTGGAGGAAAATCAAGTCAAACCAATTTTTGTTCAAGTGAGAAATTTCGCAAAAGGCTTGATGAGAGAAATCTAAATAAAAGAGATCAAGATAACTAAGATAAACTTGCAAGTTGACCCTTAAAGTCAATAGGTTTATTGATTTTATAAGGTAACACGTAAAACTAAAGGCAAAACTAATTTTTGAAGTGGTAGTGAAGATGCAATTGAATTGATTGTGATGAGTTTACCTATTAGACTTGGGTGCAAGGAATTTTCTTCATAAAAATGTAATTGAGGAACTATAGACAATTGTAAAAAAAATTAAGAAAGAGATTCCTATCCACCCATCACATGATGATCTTTCCATATTATTTTTCTATTTTAAAATTTCTACAACTATCTTATTCATGGATTATTATTTTGTTTAGAAATTGGTTCCCGGTTTGATTGGAAACTCTTCCACTCTTGCATTTCGTATTGGCATATACATACATCATATTTATTGCGTTGCAATTTCCACATGCACTTGACAAATGTGGTCAAGAAGATGTAACTAAGGAAACTCGTAAGCAGTTGCAAGCAAGTGATGGACGGAAAGGATTGAAAAACTCCAATTATTTTTGACTTCTTTATAAAAGGTGCAACATCAATTTACATACATCATATTTATTGCATGTCAATTTCCACATATACTTGACAAATTTGGTCAAGAATATGTAACTAAGGAAACCTTTAAGCACTTGCAGGGAAGTGATGGACGGAGAGGATTGAACAACTCAAGTTATTTTTGACTACTTTATAAAAGGTGCAACATCTACATCATATTTATTGCATGTCAATTTCCACATGTACTTGACAAATTTGGTCAAGAAAATGTAACTAAGGAAACTTGTAAGCAATTGCAGGGAAGTGATGGACGGAGAGGATTCAAAAATAACTTAGAAACTCTTCCACTCTTGCATTACATATTGGCATATACATACATCATATTTAAGGCTGCAGATAGATATCAATGTCATTCCTTGGGCTTTTTGAAATGGATTCAAACCATCACTAGCTAAACCAAGCCTAATGTTGTAGGAATCTAAGGCAAAATCAGGGTATTGTTGATCAATTCTTTCCAAGCTTCACCATTAGCAGGGTGCCTAAGTTTTCCATCCTTAGCACAACCTTCATCATGCCATCTCATGTCAGTAGAAGTTTTAGGTGATATAAAATTTCTTTGGAGCCTAGGTATTAGAGGGAAGTAACACAAAATCTTTGCTAGTTTCATTTTTTTTTTTTGCTTTGGCAGTTTTGCTTGACTGTTTTGGTTGTTGGCTTTCATTTAATGTTTGGGACCACTTAAAAGTACCACAAACTTCACATGATTCTAGATTTTCCTTATCCCCTTTAAATAACATACAATCATTAAGGCATGCTGCAATCTTTTGATAACCTAAGCCAAAGGACTTAAGGAACCTTTTTATTGCATAAGCAGAAGCTGGAATTTTGATTTCAAGGAATGCTTCATTCAATAATTCTAGAAGCATGGTAAAGGATTTATCAAACTAGCTATTTAGGCATTTCATTTGGAATAACCTAACAACAAAAGAAAATTTAGAAAAGGTTTTGCAACCATGATATAATGGTGTATTCACATCTTCCATTAGTTGATTAAAAGTTCGAGTTGCTTGATTATTTCCATGATAAAGCCTTTCTCCCTCTATCATACCATTAAGATGTGATGCATGTACCCCATCATCATCTTGTTGGTTGTCTATAGGAAAGTCATGAATTCCAAGAGCATCTTGCACTAAGGCTTCCATATCATCATGTTCATTTTCCGAATCAACATGCAATTCAGAAGCCCTTTGAGAGAAAGATTCATTTTGCATAAGAAACTGATCAAAGAAGATAATGTGCCTTTGCAAAAACCCTCTACAAATTAAATGTTCTTCAACTTCATCACATGTTAACAAGTGCCAGTTTGTACAATCCACACAGGGACAAATAATAAAGTTGCTATTAGAAGAATTTTGCCTCGCTCTTAACACCATCATGATATTCTTTAGACAATCGTGGTTTGTTAATCCAACTTTTATCCATTAGAGAAAATTTTAACAATCTGAGATTAAAAAAGGAAGTACTATTTATAAATGTTTAGTCACTTTAACAATATTATGACTACTAAAAGAATGCTATTGCCCATTTATCTGTCATTTCAAATCATGGCTAAAACACTATCTAATCTTAATAACATAAATTTAAAGCACTTTTCTACACAGAAAAACAGCAAAAAAATTCAATGTGTTTACAAAGACAATAATATCATATATCATTTTTCCTTTGTAATAAAAATTGAAATTCTAACCATTAAAATCTCACCAATCAGACTACAAAATAGACGGTCTTTGTCAAAAACAAGCAAAAAATAGCACAATAAAAAATAATCTTTCATTTTCTCAGTAGCCAAAAGACTAGTTACTAAAAGAATCAAAAGAAGCAAAATAATGCAAGCTAAGCAAAATTACAAATTACTACTCAATCTCCTAAACACTTCAATTTTGGATTCAACAGAAAAAATAGAAAGAAAAAACTAAAGGTAATTGAAAATAAATTTGAGTTATTGCAAAATTGATAAGAGACCTAAGTAATGCAATTCTAAGTTCTTAGAATGATTACCAAAAGAGAGAGGGAGATCAGAGTTGCAGAGGTCGCTGGAAAATGTCAACACTGTCACCGGAGTCGAGTAAAAATTATCAGAGCCTTGGTTGTGAGCAACACCGAGCCTGGACTGAATGCCCCCAATAAAAAAAACTGCATTTAATTGAACATGCAATTATAAATGAGGATAATTGGAAATGAGAAGGAAATCAGAAATGAGGATTAATCGGGAATGAGAATGAAATTGAGGAGAACCTTCAATTGGAACTTCAGAAAAATTGGAATTAGAATCGGAAATAGCTTGTGGAGAAACTCTTGGAATCGAAATGGGAATGAAATCGGGGTTGGCTTTTTGGGAAGCCCGTTCCCACAGTGCTCACTGCCCGGCTGGCCTGCCAGCGGCTGGTCAAAGACTTGGTCGGATGCGAGATCCCTTGCTTCAGCTATGACGGTAGCAGAGAGTTTAATGGAATTCAAAGGAAGTTCGGATGGGATCGGAATCGAAATTGGAATTAGAAATGGAAAGGAGCTTGTGCAGAAACTCTTGGAAAAATGCTTTTGGGTAAATGGAGAATAACAATTGTTTTCTAGAAGGTTTGGGAAAATGCTTTCTGGTTCCTCCGTTGTGTTTTTTTTTTTTTCCTTCTAATTTTAGTTTAGTTTCAGATTTGACGCCGTTTCTAACCCGTCTTTTTATTTAATTAATTCCTGCACTTGCCACATAAAAAGCTGAAAGTTACTTGCGTTTTGTAAAATATTGCTATAATAAAGCAAGTAAAAATAAAAAAATAATAATAATAATTACCTGGTATTTGGTGCAAATGCAAAAATTAAAATGCAGGCAATTAGTTTTTTTTTTTTTTAATGAGGTAAACATTGAAACATAATGGTATTTGATTTGGCATGAAAAGTATTAAAAAAGGTAAAATATAAAAATGATGCTTATCTGTGAGTAAAAAAATGATGCTCATAAGTGAGTTAATATCTATATAAAGGATAATATTTGACTCACATTTATCAGTAATTCAATTAGATGCTAATAAAAATTGTTGTTTTAGAAAGAAAATGTTGAAGCATGGAGCCGCAGCAAAAGAAGTGCCCACTACAAAGCTGCTGGGTTGTTGGATTTGATGGAGGCAGTAGGAAATGTAGGGTTAGGATCTTTGTATCGCCACAGCATGGCTAATGTAGCAGCAGTAGTGGTCAAGAAGATGAGGCAAAAATGCCTACTGTAGAAAACATTCCAGAATGTATGA